TCATTGTAAAGGCAGGGAACAAGTGAGAGGTATGTACAGTAGGTGGCGGTATGCACCTAAAAGTTAAGGTTGCAATCTGCCATTAAACAAAAAGAAGAATGCTGCAGTCCTCCTGTCCAGCAGGTGGCGGTGTTGCACCAGCGAGCTGATAATAAAGCAAACAGGAAGCGGAAAAGCTGCAGGCTGTTGTTCAGCCGCAGGAGGTAAAGATGCTGCAGACTGAAAGTTTGGTGTTTCTATGCAGATAAAACAGGTAGAAACTTTTTTTATTCTGCGTGTTTCTTCCAGAATAATGGCGGATGAGGAAGAGGAGGCGGGCTTCGAGGAGGAGCTGGATGATGGCTCCGGCGGGATGGACTCCTCCGGCCACGGCCGCAGGAAGAGGCTGTTCTCCAAGGAGCTGCGCTGCATGATGTACGGCTTCGGGGACGACCAGAACCCTTACACGGAGTCCGTGGACATCCTGGAGGACCTGGTGATCGAGTTCATCACGGAAATGACGCATAAAGCCATGTCCATCGGGCGGCAGGGGCGCGTGCAGGTGGAGGACATCGTTTTTCTGATCCGCAAAGATCCCCGGAAGTTCGCCCGCGTCAAAGACCTGCTCACCATGAACGAGGAGCTGAAGAGGGCCAGGAAAGCTTTCGATGAGGCCAATTATGGCTCCTGATGGACGCACACCTGGATGACGTCATTGATCCATATTAATCATTTCCTGTGATTGCTGAATAAAGTCTGACTGATTATTAGTCTCCAGCTAATAGTTCATCAACCGCCTCTATTGATGTAGTAAAAGGAGCTTTTTTAAAACTACTAAAAAATAAAATAAAAATAGTAAAGGAACATTTTTCTACTGTTGTGGATGATAACTTCCTTAGACTTCATTTTCTTAGCTTTATAATCAACGGTAACAGAGTCAGATCTTGAAAAACAATTTATTTTGGTCTGTGGTGAGCAACAGGTGGGGGCAGCACCGACTCCAACCACAAATAAATTAAATGGATGAAACTAATTATTTTGATGGTTTTAATGTTTTTTAAATACCAACATTCCAGAATGAAAATGAGCTTAAATGAAAGAAAACTAACCAGTTTATTTTTAAATGTAAGGCGTAGAAATGTCTAAATAATAATTCCTCCATTAAAGCATAAATAGCCAACATTTCTACTGAAGAAAGGAAACTGCACCACATGGAAAACATCGAACCAAAGAGATGAAAATGTTTTACGCTGCTCTAAACTTTCACATCGATGCATTTTGAACTTAGTTTTTTCTCCCAAACTGTTAACATTTAATCACAGCTTCACTTTATTTCACTGCTGAGCTGCTGATCAATCACTGTCTGAAAGATATACTCCATGAAAGTTAGTTTTGTATAAACTCTATAAAACGATAATACTGGTAATCTTAGTCTAAAAGACAAATACGTTTTCTGGATAAATCTATAGATTTTTATGTTTTTTTGTTTTTTTTTAATACCGACAGGCCGTAATAAAAACGAATCAAAACAGAGTCTATTTTTAAAATGTAAGGAATACAAAGATACAAGTTATTTTAAGAAATAATGACTCCAGTAAAGAATAGATAATAGTGATGCTTAATGAGGCATCAGGAAGCCAAACTACTGATTCTGTCTGACTGAATACTGACACCTGCTGGACATTTATAGACACTACAGGCAGCTGATTGCACAGAATAAACTGATCTATTACAATGATATCATTAAAGATACTGTAGGTTACATATTATTATTTCAGATCTTAGTTTAAATTGAAAACATCTTTGATATTTTTAGATGCATCAGATAAATAATGTAAACTTCTATCATACAGTGAATATTTAGGGTAAAATGTGAATGAGGATGCTTGAGGACTAGGATTTTAAATCATATTTCTAAAACAATCAGTTCAGTAAAAACAGTAAATAAACTAAGAGTCAATTTGAAATGAACTTTAATTCAGATCAGCTGAGTGATAACTGAGAGGAAAAGGATAAAACAAAGAGAAAATAAAAACCACAGCTGAAAGGTTCCTATTCCTTTTTTCCTCCTGGATCATTTTAACGATAAAAGATGAGACTTTTTCCTCAGCAGATGCATCATGTTGACGGAAACGTTTTTAAACCCAGTTCAGTGAATCAGTTAGAAACAGCTCCTGGATCGGTCACATGACTGACTGGAAACCAGACGCCATGAAGCCACGCATCAGGGTTGATGGTCCATCACTACCGATTTTAAACTGCTTAAAGTATAAAAAGTCAAAGTAAAGCAGGACAAACTGTTAAGACCAGAATCTTTCCTGCTCTGCTCTATTAAAGGAACATTTTCCTACCATTCTGGATGATAACTTCCTTAGGCTTTATTTCATTAGTTTTAGAACTAATGGTAACAGCGTCACATTTAATTTTGCATCATCTTGGAAAACGATTTATTTTGGTTTGTAGTGAGCAACACGTTGGGGCAGCACCGAGTCCAACCAAAGAAATTAATTGGATGTGCTGGTGAGGATTCTCAGTCATCAGAGTCATTCCAAAAAGTTAAAATCAATCAACTGGACTTTGTTTCCAAGTTTAAAGACGTTTCTCTTCCATTCAGGAAGATTTTTCAATCCAAACTGTCTGGATTAGTGTTCCAGGTTCCAGGCTTTATAGAGCGGACCAGCAAAGCCTCGTTACGGCTTAAGAACTGAAGAAACAGCTCCACCCCTTCGTAATGCGGAGTCATCAGGGTCATTGTTGGTGATCGACTCCCCATTACCAACAGCTGGACCCGTTCATCCGTTTCTATTTGCATGTTTTCTAAACTAAAACCAGGCTTTGTTGGGCTGCTGGATAAAACCTGGAACTAAACGCTATTTCTGACATTTTGAAATGAAAAATCTTCCTGGATGGAAGAAAAACGTCTTCAAACTGGGAAACAAAGTCCAGAGGATTGATTTGAACTTTTTGGAATTGTCTGGATGGAACAAATTATTTTTATGTGTTTTTTTTTTTAATACCAACAAACCTTAACAAAATTGAGCTTAAATGAAACAAAACCAATGAGTATGTTTTTAAAATATAAGGAGTAGAAAGTGAGATTTTAAAGGAAATAATTACATCAGTAGAGTACCAAAGCATTTGTACTTAGTTACTTGAGACGCGTGGGACGTATGAACCCCACCAGACTCAGCTGAAAGCAGCAGCTGGAACCGCTGAGGGTCTGAAGTTCAAACCTTTTCTGTCGGCCAAAGTCATGGAAGGTAAACAAGCTGCTATGTTTAAGGGAAAAGTTTCCCACTGCAGGTCAAACACTGTGGTAGAAGTTTAATGGCTTCTCTGCTCCATGTTTTGGTTAAACTGATGAGAGCGTCCATCCTGCTCTACCTCAGGGAGCTTCTCTGGCTCCCAGGTGTTTATTCAACGTTGCACTCTGCCAGCGATACAGCAACAAAGACAAAGAAACAAACAACCAGGATAACAGAGCAGAGTCTGCATAGATGCGGCATAAACAAGCTGCAGGTGAGACCCGCCTGCAGTCGGTCCTGATTGAGGCCTAACTGGGTTTGGATCTTTTTCTGCTCCAGGTCCGAGTCCAGAAGAGTCCTGCTGGTATCATCAGAAATCAGATCAGGGTTTCAGGCGATGGTTTAGATCATCGTTAACGTTTCTACCTGCTGGTTTTTACACTTTTCTACTGGAAAGCAGATTTCAGTGAATCTTAAAGCAGAATATTCTGCTGAGTCCTTTGATCAGCTAAACTCCTGCAAAGGTTCAAGCAGAACGTCGAAGGTGAGGAATTAAACTCTGTCGGCTTCTTGGTGGAAAACGGGACGGAAACAAATTCTGAGTTTGACAAAAAAATAAAGAAACAAAAAGATTTTATTGCAATTCCTCAGAACAAAAGTCTTTTTTTACACAGACCATAAACATGACAGACCAACTGGACGGGAGGCGGTGTTAGTTCATTTATTCTGTTCAAGCAACTTACTTCTTTGTACAGTAAAGTCTTTGGATTTATTGGTCTATGCAGCAGGTAACAGGCTGCCAATCTGTCTAGACTAGATCTAGATCACAGCTTTACCAGTGGGCGAGGGGGGGGGTGCTTGCTCCCCACTCACAGGGTGGCATCAGCACAGTAAATATGACAAACTGTCTGCATTTATCACAAGTCAGGGACTAATAAAGCCCAGCTACCCCCCCGCCAGGGTGGAGGGGGGGCGGGACGGTGTGTGGTTGGGTGCTTCTTTAGGGAACCAGAGGGAGGTGGAGGAATGTCCATGAGTCCGTCAGTCCTTACTGCACATTCTCCATCATCTTGAGGAATTCTGGAGGAAACAGAAGAACATCAGCGGTTAGACGTCCAGAACAAGCAGCTGTTCATCGGACCCTGGATGGTACCGATCCGATACCGATCCGATACCGATCCGATACCGATCCGATACCGATCCGATACCGATCCG